TGATACTAAAAGTGTCTTTCTTTTATAACATAATAATAAAAACAGACTCTGGTTGTTGGGAGGAAGGTGTTTTTACTTGAAATATTACAAAGTTGGTACTTTATTTTGGGCTTTTTTTAAGTATATTTTATTGATTATGCTATTACAGTTGTCCCAATTTTTCTCTCTCCTTTATCTCCCTTTGCCCTGCACCTCCCCCTCCTCCTTATTTTGGGGTCTTAACTTTGTTTTGATGCTACTGGCTGAGAAACCCAGACATCTATGAACCACTCACTGCCTTCAAGGAGAGCTGGGATTTCAGGGGGTGGGGGTGAGTTTAGGGGGCAGAAAGAGGCAAGAACAAAACCATAGGGAGAGGCATGTGCAGGGAATTTTTTGGAGATTATAGACCAAACTTGCTAAAACAAAGTGTTCTTAAAAAATAGTAGTCGGGATTAAGTTACAATGTATGTTAAACTATTTAGTGTCTGAGGATGTTCTGCTTATAGCAGAAACTCAAAAAATTTGTTCACTGAGTGCAATGAAAGTTCAAGTCAGATGCAGAAGAACTAGGCAATAAAGTTGAAACTTCCTTTTATGAACCAGGGCTTCCCAGAATACGTTCCTAGAGTGGCTAACCAATGTGCTAAGCTCCCGATCCCCTCCCTCCTCAAGGGAGCCAGGGCACGAGGTCCAGTCTCCTATTCTATTCTCCAGGTATGCTAGTATGCTATAAAAATATGACAAATGTCTATAGATGCCACAAGTGAAAGGGGATGGAAAACAAGGGGAGACACTGAAGGTAACTTAGCAGTGGAGGTATAAGATGATAATATTTCCAAGAAGACTACTAGCTTGGTGGTAGAGGACATCATAGAGCTGAGGCTGTAGGCTACAGTCATTGGGGAAAAGAGTTTAAAGAGAGAGATAACAAATTTTTGCTAACTGCTCCACATTTGTTTCTTCTCCCTTTCCTGCCCCCTTCTTTTTAAATGATATCCTGAAATTTTCCATATATGGAATTGACTCTACCCCCAGCTCCATGGCTGAGCCCTGACTGGCTTAAAGCAACCAGTACTTTCCCCAGGTGACAAAGGCTGGTGCAAGACTCAGCACATAACCCACTCAGAGATTTTATTTTTTTTTAAATAAAGACTCCCAAAAAAAAAAACCATTCTTATTATCTGTCTGAAGTTGACGTAGGAAGCATGTGACTTTAAGGGGCTGGCAACCACCTTTAGATCAGGATGGAGAACCTGCATGAGAGTAGAGGAGGCGACACAGAGAAATGGTGAAAAGGAAACTGCGCCCAGGTCCCAGCCCCTACAGCACAAGATGCAGGCTCCCTGAAGGCTCCCCTGCCCCTGGACTCTGCAGTTGCTGCCTAAATTCCTGTTTCTGCGTACACCAGTTTGAGTCTTGTTTTATTTCACTTGCAACGAGGCTGATGCACCCGCTCAAGTGATCCTCAGAGGAAGGGAGAAGTGAGTGTTTGCAGTAAGCTAGCACTCTGGAGTGTAGCTGTTGAATGATGAGATACGAGGAGTCCAGGATCTGGCGTCGGAAGTGATTAGCCACGAAGGGCTGACACTGGGATGGAAATGGAGACCTAGCTCTGAGCTTCACCAGGAAAGAAGAGGTGCCCACCAGAATGCTTTCTGTCCTGAGCCCTACTTACATGAACCCTGCTGCCTTCTCCTCGGGGATAAGAAAGGCCACCAACCCCTCCCTAGGGGAATGATGCAACCAGTCACTAGATGGTAGCTGGTCTGCCATGAAACAGTTGGGAAAAGCTAGAGAAAGTGTTGCGTGAGCAGGTCCCAGAAATAAAAAGAGGGGACTAAAAAAAGTAAAATGGGGAGGGGAAGATTGTGGAAAAGAAAGAAAGAGAGAGGGGGGGGGGGGGGGAAGAAAGAAAGAAGCTGAAGAAAAAAAAAACAAACATGAATGGAAACCTAGAGAATGGAGGGTAACATAACATGGTTGCTAAGAGGGGGCCCAGGATCAAAAGGATACTGTTACAGGTCAGGGCCTGGCCCTGAGCCGGCCTGCCTAATCCCAGCCGGTCGTATGTGGGTTCACAACACCAGTCCAGGTGACTGTGAGGACACATTTATTAAAGCTGGGGACAGTAAAACAAGGAAGGGCTCCGCATAGAAGAAGTAACAGGAAAGCCTAGGCTGGGCTGCTTTAACTCATTGGGAAGTCAGAAAAAAGGGGGTTTGGGGGACAGTTTCAAGGGATTAGCTTGAAACAAGCTGCCACCTGCCCATTGCCTTAGAGTTTAGGAGCCTTGTGCCTGCAGAGAAAGAAGTGGCAGTGGGGGAGGTAGAGAGGAAGGAAAAGAGAAAGAAGGGGGGTGGGGAGTAGAGAAGAAGGGAAAGGGAATGGCGCAGGCTGCTCCCCACAGGGAGAACACACCTTGGGTCTTTTGTCCTGAGGCTTTTCTTTTTCTCTTACAGGTGTGAGTTTTAGGGGAGGTCTCGGGGTGGAGGGGTGGGGTGGGGGCGGGGGCGGGGGGGAGTTTCAGCAGCCATTCATCAGTTATCCAGGTGTGCCCTTTCGGGGTCATGGTCTCCACTGATTGGTCCATGGCAAAGCAGGGGGGTCTTTAGTCTTTGTACTTGGTGTGGGTATTGCCCACCTGGTTTTGCTGCTTTTCTGGGCCTGGAGCTGAAACACAGCTGAGGCCTAGATGTTATCTCCTGGGAGGAAAGTTTACCCTGGGGGTGAGGCTCTTGTTTTCCCAGTTTTACCCCCTGCCAGGCACTCTGGGCCTTTTGCCCTGGTGACCACCCGCACCTGACTGTACGTTGTTCAGCCATTGTGTTCTGCTAACTGTCTCAGTTTCCCTGTCACTTTTGCCAAGGACTTTTCCTACCTTCTCACGATCCTGTCTCAACACCAGTTCACCAGTTCTGTAACAGAATCCCCAGGTTCTATTGCCTGTCACCAAAAAAACCCATGATTCCCACAGCCAGAGTCTTATGATAAGAAAAGGAACTATATTTAAAAGTTATACAGGTTCAGAATAATGGCGAAATTCTGTTTTTAAGTTTCAAACTCCCTGAAAACTAAACACACTTAAACACACACAGATCTGGCTCCCCTTGCCAAACCGGGACAGTCAGAGGCACCGTTTCTCAGAAAAAGAAATAGAAGGCTGGGGCTTAGCTGGGAAGAGTCCTGTTTTAACACTGTGGCTTCTTCCAGTCATCCGCACTCAGCTAGGCTCCCACTCTTAAACCAAAACCACATGGCCCAGTCTCATGGTGGGCCAGTGGGGGTCCGTCTGCAACTTTTCAAACCACATGGCCAAGGTTCTTCCCAAGCCACATGGTCAGAGGCACGTCTTCTTCCCAAGCCATTTGGTTAAGACCTTCTGCATGGCTAAGCGAGCATGGCGGCCCTGCACTTGAGTTTATATCTCCACCTGATCTTCCTTCGTAACCGCTTTTCCAACTTCTCCCACAGACGGCTACACCTGCCAGTACTTTGGTCTCTTCTGCCTTATCCTGCCTGCCATTGTTAGTCCGGGCAGACTTGGCTCTGTGTTGTAGGGGAACCGCCTTCCTGCTCTTGTGCAGGTGTGCGGCAAGCCCCTCCGTACCTTACAGTCAAAGTCACTCCCTTCTCCCTGGCTCTGCGCACCTGCCACAGCTGCTTAACATATTTATGAAGCTAGCCAGCTATTATTGATACGCAAAGTAACTTTCAATGGTCCTGCTCTGAGTCCCCTTCCCCCAACCAGGTTAGTGGGGGCTTCCCCATTTGGGGGACCTCTACATTCCCTGTTACAGTTCCATCACTTACTGGCTGTCTTAATTCACCTCTCCAAGGGTCCCTGTCTGTACAGGAGCTTGAAAGTGCCGCCTTTAGATGACTGCGAGGTTCCAAAGATGTAATGCAGGAAAGTCCCAGCAGAGCGTCTGACAGGAGTAAGCGTTCGAATAAGCGTTCTTCCTTGTATCTCTTACTAATAAGATGGATGGGTGCAGGAAGACAAGAGAGGAAACACGTAGAACACTTTTATTTAGATCCTGACCCTTCTCTGTAGCAAGCAGTGAGTGTTCACTCTGTATAGAAGCAGCACTGAGGGAATTAAAAGAAAGGATCATGCTAGAAGAAATGGCTTTTGAGAAATGTCAATAACGTCTCCTTAATTTTAGTAAATGTGTTTTGAACTGGGCTAACAATAGTTGGGAATCTTCAGCATGGGGGCCGGGGGCCGGGGTGCGGAGAATCACTAAACAGAACAAAATATTAAAACAAATCAACACGTCACTGGGACTTGATTTCAGCTGTTAGAATGTGGCACTATCTCACCCCAAGTCTGGGCTGGCTGGATGGGAGGGGCCGACCAGAACCTGGATTACTCAACCACGGGCCAGGGGCCCAGTGAGCAAGAAGCAACAGTAAGTAGCGCTTTTAGTCCAACCTTGAAATCCTTGCCTCAGGAGACAGTCTGGCGGTTGGGCTGGAGGGTGGGAGGTGTAGCAAATCTGAGAAACAAAGAGAGACAAAGCTGAAAGACCCCAGGACCAAGAAGGAGAGATGGGATTCTGATTTCTCCTGATACCTCCTAATAAATAACAGGACTGGTTTGCATTTATTAGGCACTTCATTGATAATAACAATAAGTCATATAAGGCATACTAGGCATATAAGGCATAGAATAAGGCATTCTATTAGTGGTGGCAATAAATAATAGTCCTACACACGCCCGCATTATCTCCTCCAATCTTCTGAACATCTTCTCAGAGTGTCTTACCATCACCGTTTTTATAAGGAAACTGCAGCTCTGAGGTGTAAAGTACTCTGGTCACAGCGCAGGAGTCCACACTTGACCCCAGACATCCAGACTTCGGTGGAGCTTTGTCCACTAAGGGACGACCGCTGGGACGGGCCCGGAGCTCAGGTGTTTGCATCTCCTCGAGGGGGCGGGCTCAGCCGGCAGGTCGCGCGGGAACCTCAGGCAGCCCACACGCCATTCCGCCTGCCGCCAAGCCACCTGCCCAGGAGCCCGCTAAGGCAGCGCAGGCACTCCGCCGTCTCCCCAGCCTAGCTGCGCGCCCCAGCGCGGCCCTCCCGCTGTCTGCCCGGACCACCCCAGCCGCCACGCTGCAGGACCGGAGCGCGCCCTCTCCCCTCGCGGGGACAGGGGGCCCCATCACCGTCATGCTGCCGGCTATCTTCACGGCTTTGGCAGGGCTGCTGCTCCTGCCGCTGGTGGTGAATTTCTGCTGTCCCTACTTCTTCCAGGACACGGGATACTTACTGAGGGTGGCTGGCTTCATCCGGCGGGTGCGCAGATACGGGCAGCGGCGGCCGGTGAACACCATCCTTCAAGCCTTTCAGGACAAAGTGCGCCAGACCCCGCACAAGCCTCTCCTGCTCTTCCGCGATGAGATGTTCACCTATGAGCAGATGGACCGACGCAGCAACCAAGTGGCGCGGGCGCTGCACGACCACCTCGGCCTGCGCCAAGGAGATTGCGTGGCGATTTTCATGGGCAATGAGCCGGCCTATGTGTGTCTGTGGCTGGGGCTGCTCAAGCTTGGCTGTGCCATGGCGTGCCTCAACTACAACATCCGCTCGAAGTCCCTATTGCACTGCTTCCAGTGCAGCGGGGCGAAGGTGCTGCTGGCTTCGCCAGGTGAGCCCCGGGACCGCTCAGCCCTGCCTTGGGCTCCTCGGAGGGGGAGGTTCACATCAGACCTGGCGGTGCAGAGGGAGAGGATGGCACCCCTTCCTCGAAATGCTAATTAATGATCTTTTAGACATGCCCACTGTGGAAGCTGACCGGCCCAGGCACTGTGTTAAGCGCCACACATACTGTGTTGCTTTTAATCATCACAACAGGCAGTGTCTACTGTCGGACTTTATAGGTGAAACAGACCACTGAGGCCAGTGAACCGAAGCCTCATACCCCCGGTCATAGAGTTGGGAGGAGGGGATTAACCAGGGCCGTTCTCCGTGAGAGTCAGAATCCAAACTCTTAACCAAGACTGACAATATCTGCGATTAAGTGCAGACAGTCTTGGCTGTGAACACCAGTGGATCCAAAAAGAAAAAAGAAAAGAAAAAAGTTCTCCCCTCTGCAGCTTGATTGGCTGTGTAATCATGGGAAAAGTCATTTTCCCTCTCTGACCCTTGCTTGGCTCCCTCCCGTGTGATGAGGTGGTCTTCAAGATGAAGACTTTGGCCCCTAATGAAAAGACTTTGGGGACCTGCTGCATTGGGTTGGTGATATCCTTTTGTACCTATAGCAATAGTGACCTTTGGTTCTGTTGTTAACCTCCTGCTGTATTTTAACAAGACCTGAAATGGTAACTTCATTCTTACAATGGCGACTACGCCAGGAAGAAACCAAGACCCTGTCAGTCACTGCGCTGCTGGTTTTCCCTTCCTAGAAAACTTGTCTCTGCACTTGAATAAGGACCAGTAGTTGCTTCCACTATGTTAGTAAAAGGAGGCTAGCCAGGCGCGGGTTGAAAGACAAAGAGGAATAGGGAGCCAGGTAGCCTCACCTTTCTGGAATGCCTTTCTGTACAAAGCCCTATGCTGGATATTTTTATTACCCTGAGAGGTAACATTTCATTACCTCTTGTTATGGAGCTGAGGAAACTGAGACTTAAAATTTCAACCTAGGTCTATCTGACTCCAAAGCCTATGACTTCCCCTGCATCATGTTCCTTCCTCTATGTGGCTGTGAAGCATTAGAGCTGGCAGGGACCGAGCACCTGTCTGCTCTCCCCCTTCGTTGCATAGCTGAGAAAACTGAGGCAAGCTAAGCAGTTTGCCTAGTGTCACAGAAAGATGAGATGCCTATCCACCTGTGAGAAACCAGGAAACTTACACACCTGTTCCGTGTGGCATAAAATAAGCAATCCAAAAAAGGAAGACTTTATATAAAAGTTTAAAAACAGAGGTCGGTTTAAAAGGCAGCAGTTACTTGAAGGGCATGGTCCTTTCAAGAAAACTCCCAATAGTTTCTAGTTGCTTGGGAAATGAGACAACTTCACTAAGCAGAAGATGCTCTTAAATCTATTACTTTACCAGTCAATTCAGAGGGAAATTGTTAACACACCGATCTTGGTACCACTTCAGGACGGATTGAGATACTATTAAACTGCATAGTACAGTCAGATGTCGGATGATAATGAGAATGTGCTCTGAGAAATGCGTTGTAAGGCAATTTGTCATTGTGCCCAACATCACAGAGTACAGTTACACAAACCTAGGTGGTAGAGCCTGCTACACACCTAGGCTGTGTGGGATACCACCATTGTATATGTGGTTCATCATTCACCAAGTTGTCATTGTGCAGCACTTGACCATAGCCCAGCACCGCGCCCCCCCCCCCGCCACCGCCCCAGGAAGGTCAAGGACTGTGAGTTTTGTTGACAAAGAAGCTTAGGTTTAAATGACTATAATAGAGTTTGGTTCTGAATTTCAGGTCAGGATTACAACCAGATACCTCCTTCTCCACCCAGGCCACAGTCCTCTGCTGCTGAGCATTATGTTTAGGTCATTTTTTATACGTAGAAAATGTAATGAAATGGCGACATTCAGATCAAAGTTGAACCAGGCTTCCCAGTGTGTACCTATGGCACTCTCTAGCAGCAAATTAACCTTTGAGAGAGGCCACAAAGATTCAAAACATTCAGTTTTTCCAAATCACTGAGAGAGATCATTGCATAAAGAATAGAATTACACTGTGACCTGAAACAGTTCCTTCAAAGGAGGTAACACAGAGTCCAAAGTTGCCTGCTAAGTAAGTGAACTCATGTGTCAATATGTTGAATCAACTACTTCTTAGAATTCTTTAAAGTTGGAAGGAATCTTACAGATACTGTAATCCTATAATCTTCCAACTTCAATGAGTGTGTTATATACTTCAGTAAAAAACACTCAAGAGTGCCCTAGCTGGTGAGGCTTGGTTGGCTAGAGTGCTGTCCTTTAGATTGAAAGGTACCGAGTTTGATTCCTGGTCAGGGCACATACCCAGATTGTGGGTTTAACATTGGGGTACTTCAAGAAGGCAACCAGCCAATGTTTTTCTCTCTTCCTCTCCCATCTCCCTTCCCTTCTCCCTCTAAAAGCAGTGGAAAATGTCCTTGGGTGAGGGTTTAAAAAAAAAAAAAAAAAAGAACTTTAGAAAGGAAATTTTTTTAAATTTAACCTTCATTGTATTTTTTTTCCATTACCATTTAGTTCCCTTCTACCTTCCTCCCCCCTAGCAATCACCACACTGTTATCCATGTCCATGAGCCCTTTCTCTTTTTTGCTCAACCTCTCCACCCCCTAACCTCCCACACACACCAGCTAACATCTGCTCTCCATCTATAAACCTGTCTCTGTTTTGCTTGTTAGTTGAGTTTGTTCATTAGATTCCACATTTGAGTGAAATCATATGGTATTTGTCTTTCTCTGACGGGCTTATTTCCCTTAGCATAATGGTCTCCAGGTCCATCCATACTGTTGCAAAGGGTAAAACTTTCTTACAGTTGAGTAGTATTCCATTGTATAAATGTCCCAGAGTTGTTATATCCATTCATCTACTGATGGGCACTTGGGCTGCTTCTAAATCTGGGCTTCTGTAAATAATGCTGCTATGTATGAACATAGGGGTGCATATATTATTTTGAATTAATGTTTTCAGTTTCCTCGGATATATTCCCAGAACTGGGATCGCTGGGTCAAAAGGCAGATCCATTTCTAATTTTTTGAGATAGCTCCATACTGCTTTCCACAGTGGCTACACCAGTCTGCGTTCCCACCAACTGTGCAAAAGTGTTCCCCTTTTTCCACATCCTCACCAGCGCTTGCTGTTTGTTGACTTATTGATGGTAGCCATTCTGAGAGGTATGAGATAGTATCTCATTGTGGTTTTAATTTGCATTTCTCTGAGGATTAGTGATGTTGAGCATGTTTTCATATGTCTATTGGCCATCTGAATGTCCTCTTTGGAGACGTGTCTACTCAGGTCTTTTGCCTAGTTTTTAATTGGGTTGGTTGTTTGTTTTGGTGCTGAGTTTCATAAGTACTTTATAAATTTTGGATATTAACCCTTATCAGATGTATTGGTGAATATGCTCTCCCATTCTGTGGGTTGTCTTTTTATTTTGTTGGTGATTTCTGGAAAGGAAATTTTAATGGGCATAAGAATCGCCTGGAAAGCTTATTTTGAAACACTGATTCCTGAATCACATCCCCCAAAAGACACTGAGCTAGTAGGACAATGGTGGGATCCGGGGATGTGTATTTTTATAACAAGTCCCACCCCATCCCCAGATAATTTTGAAGCAGACGGTCTCAGGGCTAGACTTGGAGAAATGACCAACCTAATTTCCACTTGCTTCAGAATGAACAAACGAAGTCCCAGAGGGGTGATAGCACTTGCCTGGGGTCACATGGCTAGTTAGCAGCAGAGAGCTGGGGACAGAACCTGATTTTTTTTCTCACTTCCAGGGCACTTCTTATTCTATTATGCCATCTGAACAAGGTATGTAAAGGTGAGGAGTTTTAGAAAGGTTGGACTGGTGACAATTCAATAAGGTTTGATTCTGCACTCTGAATTCCAGCCTCGTAGCTCGTGAGTGAGCTCATAAAAAGCCCTGGAGTTCCAGCTGTGTCAAATTCTGGAGCGTATGTAAGGGAACAGCACAGTGGATTCATCATGAGGATTAATCCAGTTGTCATAAATTTGGGGGACTCTGTAAAGCTTAACAAGACTCAACCCTCTCAGAATTTCAGTACCCAGTTATTTCTTCAGAATTTGTTATACTTACCAAAAGTCAAAGATTCACAAACACCTCCTCAAATCAAATAGATGCACCCATCTCCTAGAGAATATGATCTCCTTTCTGTGGCAGGGTGTGGTGTAAATACTCACATGGAAAAAGTGCCTTCACCTATTTGAACCAGTATTCGTTTTGCTGATAGAAATGAACTTGTTGACCTGGCAGATTTTTGAGCAACTTCCCAAACATAGACAATGAGGAAGGCAGGAAAGCATAGTTCATTATGGGCAACATTGGATGTTTTGTGAAAACATCTAAAAGAGCCCCCAAAATAGTAAATTCGTTTTGTTTCCATTTATTCTAGCCTTAAGATTTTCACTAAACTAGCTCTTCTGCAAGAAGAATAACCGAGGTGTCTATCAGTTTATTGGCAAGGTCTACACTGTCTGACTCAACATAGCCATGCAAGGCTCCCACAGTGTAGCCACTACTCTTGTTCAAGGCTTTAGTAACAGTTGAAGGTGCTTTCTATTGCAAGACTGAAGTCCAGAGAGGTTATAAAATGTTCCAGATTACCTTTGACCTGGTTTTGCAAGGTTGTGGAAAACAAAACTGGCTGCTCCTTTAACCAATGTGATAAAGGAAAATGCTTCCAATTTTTTTTAAAGGTATTGCATCATTGTAAGTTCTAAAACAAGAGAACTTCATTGTAAAACTAGTGTTAGGAACCAAGGAGACATCTCATCATACAAACTTCTGAAGTTAGATTGAGAAAAGCAGATGGTACGATAATTTAATTTCAAATCAAGAAACATTTAGAGAGTCCCCACAAGGTGCAAGCTAGTTGCCAGTGCAGGAGGGGAAGTTAAAATGAATTAGTTCAAGGATCTTAGCTTCCAGCAAAAGAGCT